AAAAAAAAAAAAAAAAAAAAAAAAAAAAAAAAAGAAGAAGAAAAAGAGAGAGAGAGAGAGGAAAATCCCAGTTGCTGAGGGAACTATATATTTGAATATAGAAACAAAAGTGACACATGGTATAGAGAGAGCAATAGCAAGGCTATAAATAAAACCCCAAGCCACACTGCCAATAACATTCCAGGAAAATGGTCCAGAAACTCTAGCTAAAAAGTAGACCTGGAGCCACAGAGACAGCTAAGCTAGTAAAATGCTGCTACATGGACGTGAAGGCCTGAACCCACATAACGGAGCCGAGAGTGTGGTGTGTGCTTATTCCAGCACCAGACACTGGGTGCCTGGGGCTTGCTGACCAGTGAGGCTATCCTTCTTCCTGAGCTCCAGGGATCTTCTGTATCAAAACACAAGGTGAACAGCTCCTGAGGAATGTCACCCAAGGTTGTCCTCTGGCCTCCATGTGCAGTCCAGGCAGACTGGATAACTTGGATCACGGGTGAGAAAGTATCAAAGGTAAAAGCCCTCAAGAGGGAGGGCACAGCCTACAGGGTAGCACATGCCTATGATCCAAGCTGCTTTGGAGGATGAGGCAGCAAGACTGGATCAACCTGGGCAACTAAAATGAGGCCCCAGGCTAAACCGTTAGTGCAGTATATAAGTTTTCACGTGTGTGCACTTGGGGGAAGGCTTATTATGATTGGAGGATGCATCATTCCAAGATGTGACAAATTGATATTTCATCACTAAGACATCTGTACAAGTGGACTACCACAATGGGGTAGCCTCTCTCTGTCTCTCTCTTTCTCTCTCTCTCTCTACATACACACAGAACATATGTAGACATTTCTTAGATAAACCACTTGAAGGTAAGCTGTGACATTATAAATTTCACCCCTACCGTCTTCATCTTTTATCTCTTTATATAATCACAGAAATAGTATCACACTAAAGAAATTTAATATTGGTACTATACTATTAATCTATAACTCATTTTCAATTTTTGTCTCAATTTTCCTAGATTGCCTTTTCTCATTTGTTTTGGGTCTGTGCTCCAGTTGAGGATCAGATGCTGTACTTGGTTGTTGCATCTTGAGTGTATCCATCCATGCAAGCTTAGAACGTTCTAATACATCTCAGAAAGCTAGCTACATCTCACAACATGCAACATGTGGGATTAATTTATTAGTGAAAAGCTAGGTCTTTTTTTTTTAAGTCTTTTCGAGACAGGGGTTTCTCTGTGTAGCCCTGGCAGTCCCGGAACTCATTCTGTAGACCAGGCTGGCCTCAAACTCGGAGATCTGTCTGCCTCTGCTGCCTAAGTGTGAGGATTCAAGGCGTCACCACCACTGCCTGGCCCTGATGCCCGTTTAAATAAAAATAAACATTTATTTTATGTGCATGAGTGTGTTGCCTGTATATGTCTGTACAATGTGCATGACTAGTGTCTGAGGCCAGAAGAGAGCACCGAATTCCCTGGAATTGGAATTGGAGGTGGTGCGAGCCACCATGTTGGTGCTGGGGATCAAACTTGGGTTCTTTACAAAAGCAGTAAGTGCCCTTAACCACTGGACCACCTCTCCAGCCGCTCCTGCTGTCACTCCTATTGAGGGCTCCCATATAGCCTTGCCTGTAAACTCCCCGAAATGTTCCTCCACGGCTCTCTAGTCCTGGCCTGCAGGTGAAGTTAAGCAACATGACCTTGGAAGAAAACTGCTGCCAGCAGTTTCTGGGGCTGAGCGACCTACTAGACTGAGTCTGGCTAGTAGGGATCCTGGTATCATCTGGATTCTAATTTTATTTATTTATTTATTAAAGATTTCTGCCTCCTCCCCTCCACTGCCTCCCATATCCCTCCCCCTCCCCCAATCAAGTCCCCTGCTATCCAGAGCCCCTTAAAAACTGCAAAGCAGGTGCCCAATCGCCGGTCTGTGGCTGACTGCACATCCAGGGTTGGGCAAGAAATGTGGCTATCTTCTTTGTAAATGAAGAAAAGACTCATTTCAGATCTGGCTTCCAGGGGTCCCCAGTCTGACTTATCCTGAGGAGTCTCTTTGGGAGAAAGAGCAGAGTCCTGAGTTGGGGATGGAGGAATGAGTCAAGAAATGAATCAAGTTTAACCACACCCACCAGGCTCACAGCTGTGCTAAAGCCCACGCTTCCTTGACATAATTAGAAGTCGGAGAAGACAGGGCAGATATAGTGTGGGGAAGGGCCTCACATCTGACACAATCTAATATTGTCTCAGGGATCAACATTGGTTCTCAGTGTCCCAAACACTTCAGCTAAGGAGGAAAAACATGGCCATTCCGTTCCTCCCATCAGCATGTTTGATTGAGACAAGCAAGCTCAACAGACAAGCAGGCCAAAAGTGATGTTGCTTCAGGTAATCTGGCCTGACCTCTCTGGGAGTTATCCTCCTTAGGTGAAAATCCACCACTCTTTGAGACTGAGCGAAGGTGTACCTGTCTGCTCTGGTTCCAGGACCAAGGTCTCCATGGCGACCCTCTGAGCATTGCCTGAAGAAGGACTGAGCAGCTCCATAGCCACCTGATCAGGTCCTGCAGTCAGGATCCAGGGACAGCAGCCTGCAGAGCAACCTCTCGGTGACCCGTCTCCCAGGAGCTCAGGTCCAGCTGGCTCGAGTCTCCCCCACATTAGCCCACCGACACACAGGCAGGGTCCACTCTCGCCCTGTGGCTGTCACACACTCGTCCTGACTCCCATCTCACTCTTCTTGGGGACAGGGTTAGGACTCTGGCACTCGGGGCCAGCGGGAGCGTAGCACAGCTGACGGACAAACTCCGGGACACACGTAAAGACTGGCCAATGAATGCTCAGATGGCCCTAGAGCCAGAGAATCTGAACCCCACACAAAGACAGATCGCGGCCACAAAGAGCAGCTTGACTAGCGCCTTGGGGAAATGCGCCCGCGCAGAGTGAACGTGGACTACGTTTCCCAGTCATGCACAGGTATCAACTCCATTCTCGGGAAACCCGGGGCCCTCAAATATATGACCTTCTCCCTCCCTCCTCCCCAAGAAGATATCAGAACTTCTGACTGACTTGTGAGTAACATAGAC